TTAAATAGAAATTGTTGGCTGATGTCATGGTCACGAGTCCTGCAACCCATTAGGTTATTAGGAGTACTATATGTACTGCAGCCACTGTAGCAGTGATGTTTCTTGGCCAAGATAGCTTGATGGAGCCCATCCCTTTTCAGGCTGGTTTGAATTCAGAGTTCTTCCTTCTCCTAGACGAATTACTAACCAAGTCTATAGGACCCGGTCTGTCCTGCTGTTTACTTACAGCTGCTGGAGAGGAGTGATGGATTCATACCTTTCACACGGGTATTTGCATACATAAGTGAATGCAATGGACTTGCCTTGAATTTGAACTAGGGGTATACATCGAACCAAATGGTTCAGTCCATTTTCATTAGCAGGTTTGACAAACCACCTCTTGCTACCTGTTGGAATCTCCTGGGTTGGAAGAGGGGAATAGTTAACTAGAACACAAGATTCAAACCACAACTAAGTCATTTGGTATTCATTATAACAACAACAACAACTGACTAAGATGGTTTCCCAGACAAAAAAGAAAAGCAGGTTCAATTATTGATGTGAAGTACATTATCTTTGATAACATTTTTGATGGTCTAGGCCAGTATACATTAATTTCACTATTTGTAAATATACAGGGATGGCCACTAGTGTACCTATGAAAATGTTTATGGTGATAAGAAATATTTTCGGATTAAAAAAAAGTTAATTGTTAATTATAGTGGATACTTATATTTGAAAAAGATGCTCCATCTTAATTTTTACTTTAAACACTGTGCATGCCATTGACCTACAACCTGTTTGCATATATTCAAGAAATCATCTTTATTAAGAGTTCCTGAATATGCATATTATAGGCATAATGAATGTTGATTTAAAGTAATAATAAAGACAATTTCAAATATAAATATCCGCTATAAGTAATATATATATATATATATAGTTGTTCAATAAAACGGTCAAAGGAAAGGGTACTGATGAAATGAGTACGAAAAACATTTATTAATATTAAGCAGGTGACAAAAATGAAGCATGGAGATTGAGGGAATTTTGTGTGTGTGTGTGTGTATATATATATATATATATATATATATATATATATATATAAAAAAGATTACTTAACTTTTAAATATCGATGTTTTTTGGTAAAATTTTCAATCCTCAGGGGTTGTGGTTTTTCTGAAGACTTGAAATTTTACCAAGAAACATCAATGTCAGGATAAAAATTGATATTTAAAGGTTAAGTATTCTTTTCATATAATTAATGCTCTATTTTTAATATTATTTTAATATTGAGCACTGTATATAAAAATATTTGCATTTTTTTTCTTAAATCTTAACTAATTTTTCCATTTTAAAAAATTTTTCCAGATTAAAAAATTAATTGCTTACATACACACATCCATATCGATCCAGTTATATAATGAGTCGCTACTCGTTTCTAAGCACACTTCTCTGCTAAGGTGGTTCACCAATTCAACACCCACAGAGACAACGTATGGTTTATGCTGCAACTATGCTGGGAAGGTCTTAGTTTCTGGGATTGAGCATATAATTTGGCATTATCCACAAGGCCAGTACACTCAAATCCTCCATTGCAATGATTTGTAACATTGTGCTAAGTGTCTGAACAATTACATCTACTCAATTTCACTCACAGGACTTGGGTCAATCTATAGTATAGTTTTCAGGCACTTTCCAAAGGTGCTTGATATTTTCTCTAATAAGACTTTTGATGATCTAGTCTGGTCAATGTCACTGTGAATAAATAGGGTGGTCTACTCAAAATCCTGTACGCAACTCACAAACCCCTTTCTCACCGATGCAATATTGCAAACCTGTCATTACTCAATTGCTATTTCCATGGCAAATGTTCTGATAAGCTACACATTCCTTAGTTCCTCCAGTTCACAGACAAGACCCACCATGCTATATATACAGAGTGAACTATCCTCTTTCTCTTTGTATTTCATTGGTAAGGAGGAAGTCATCTTCCCAAGGGCTGCTGCTTTGTAATACAGACTTGAAAGGATGATTCTCTGATCACTATAATGTTATCCACTTCAAGTCCAGAGTCGACCTTTGTCTATCCTACATATCCTCATAATTTACAATCTTTGTCTATAAAACAATCTTATTCAGTAAATTTATGTCTTGAGTGGCTCTTTGGCCTTGTATTGGGTGAAGAATAGCATAAAATATTATACTACACTCTGATTGCAGGTGAGAAAGCCACTTTGTACCTACAACCAGAGTATAAAAATTTCAAGTAACAATATAGCTAAATGACAGCAATTAAAAAATTTTCTATTTCTTTTTCAGCAATTATTTTAGGTTTTTTTTTTTTTTAGTGTGTTGACTAAATAAGGATTCAGCAAGTTTATTTAAGTTTTTATCTAGTTTTTTTTTTTTTTTTTTTTTTTTTTTTTTTTTTTTATGGCACTTTGTGGTAGGAAAATTCTCACTTTCATTTTCCCCAGGTTTTTTTGTTGAGGTCTGCTGTGTTTGTTCATTCAGTATACATTGATTATTATTATTATAGGTGTACTTAGAGTTCAAAAAGTCATTGCAATTTCTTTTTTTTTACTTTTTTTGTTGGCAATTCTCCTGGTTTATTTTCTTGCTCTGTTTTATTGATTACTTGATTTTCTTTTTTTTCAATCTTTTATCATCATTTTTCCGGTTCTTTTTCATCATCATCACCATTGTCTCTCCAGTTCTTTATCTTTGTTGCCATCATCTTTGTTGCTGTCATCTTTTCGGTCCTTCATCTTTCTTGCTGATGTCTTTTCAGTTCTTCTTTGTTGCCATCTTTCAGTTCTTCTTTGTTGCCATCTTTCAGTTCTTCTTTGTTGCCATCTTTCAGTTCTTCTTTGTTGCCATCTTTCAGTTCTTCTTTGTTGCCATCTTTCAGTTCTTCTTTGTTGCCATCTTTCAGTTCTTCTTTGTTGCCATCTTTCAGTTCTTCTTTGTTGTTGCCATCTTTCAGTTCTCCATCTTTGTTGTTGCCGTCGTCTTTCCAGTTCTCCATCTTTGTTGTTGCCGTCGTCTTTCCGGCTCTTCATCTTTGTTGCCACCGTCGTCTTTCCAGTTCTTCATCTTTGTTGAAAAAAAATTGTTTTAAGGGAAATACGTTATAAATTTCAGTCGACAGTAGTACTGGCTACTTGGTAACTGAATACCAAATGTTTCCTCATAAGGAAACTGCTAATATTGTCATTAGAGATGAAGTGAACAGATGCTACACTTTGGTCCAAGCCCAAAGGCCAAGGGGGTGAAGATGTTTGAGATTCAAGTTTCCTGCATGTCAACATCTGCAAGCTTGGCAGTAACTAGATATTTTGCATCTGTGGTAACTTTCTTTGTCTCTGCTGAAAAACAATTTCATTGCAGAATTTAAAAGTACATAAATTTTTCTGCTGAAGCTGGAAGAGTGATACTTCAAGAATAATAACTTTTGTTTCCTGGCTACATATATTTATATAGCAATGACTATTTCTTATTAACTCTTGTTCCCCAGATATTTCTTATTACTTTAAATGTTATATTCAGTAGCCACAGAAAGCTTTCACAGTCCAGCAAGATTCAATTATTTTTCTCTTTTGGGTCCCTCCAAAGATTGATCGGCTTTGTTAAATTTTAGATATGAAGATAGTCTAAGGAATTGATGAATTTTATTTATAATACATTATTTCGTATTTAATGCTGTATTTAGTTGATACATGTTTGAGTAGACACCCATGTTTTTTTGTTTTTTTTTAAAAACAGTGAAAATTTACATCTACCTGCCTGTGCATTTGAGAGTCTTAATAAAGTAAGGCACTTTTTCTTTATTACTCTCAAATGCAAATTTACACTGTTTAAAAAAACGGGTGTCTACACAAATGTGTGTATCTACTAGATATAGCATTTCAACTAATAAGAGATGAAGTTGGATTATAAATAAAAATACATAAATTCCTTAGGCATTTACAATGTAAAGGTAAATGGTACAGTCACTCGAATCCAAGGATGCCAGTCTACTAGATTGGCTAGCTAATCCCCATAGCAGACGCTTGCTCAGGCACATTTTCGTTTGTTCAACACCCACAGAGCCCACCTGTGGTTTATACTGCAACTATGCTGAGCAGACCTAAGTTATGGTTTCTGGAGAGTCCATTATCTAGTGTGATCAGCAGTTTGAAAAAGGCTAGCACGCTCAAGCCCTCAGTCACGATTACTTGTGACTTTGTTCTAGCATGACCATTGATGGCTCCCACGGGTTCCATCTACTCAATTTTACTCCCAAGACTTGGGTCAATCAGTGATATGGTTTTCAGGCACTTTCCAAAGGTTCTGTATGCTGGGATCATCTCCACCAGATTTATAACATCAACAAGTTACCTTTCTGACAAATTGACCATGGTGAGATTCAAACTTGGGTCTCCTAGTCAGAATGCGAATATTCTAACCATTTGGCTACATGCCCATGGAATTAACAATGACTATGTGGAAAAAGTAGCAAGGTAACAACCTATGCACACTTGTGGGAAGGAAACCTGTAGGTCTTAGCAAAGACCATCCTTCCTCGAATCTTGTGGACCAGTGCTACAGAATCACAAACAAAAGAAACTACATCTCTTGAGGACTACCAACAGCAGCAACAACTAAAATAGATAACACATGCAACTCAGAGAAAATAATGACATAATCAAGATGTTGACATTCCTCACTACTTTAAATAAAATGTTAAGAAGGAGGCCCCATAAATACTGGAAAGAGTGATAACATTGGGCTTCAAAAATCTATTTTCCTGAAAAATTGTTTTAATAGAAAGATTTTATAAATTTCATCCAAAAGCATCACTGGCTGTTCAGTCAATAAATACCAGACATTTCCTTATAAGGAAATTACTAATATTACCATTACCAATAAATATGTTGGATTAGCAAATTTTTCTAGCTTTTTAGATTTCCCATGTATATCACCCTTGACTTTTTTCCCTCCAGCTTATCAGTGTTTTTGTTTTCTTTCTGTTTCAGATGTTAAGAGGTGTGAGAATGGGGCAACAAAGTCAAGCTTTGCTGCTTATGTTGGTTATGCTAATCAGTGAGGCATGTGAACCCATCCGATGTAAGTATAAAATGAACCATGAAAGAAGCCATTTCAAAGACCATGACCTCCTTGCTACCTGTTCTAAGACATATGTTAAATTATATTTTTCTTTATTGTGACTTTCTCGGACTTTCTTATGAAAGTCACTCCAGGAGCCTACAAGATATATAAAACATTAACAATAGAGAATTCATAACAGCTTACAGCCACATCACATCGAAACACCTGTATGATCAACTTTGAGCCTGGTCAGTACCTAGATAATGACTGCTTGGGAATACCAGATGCTGTAAGCTTGGATGTGCAGGTGGTGTAATGGGTAGTAGCTTGAAATTGTTAATTGGAGAGCTGGGTTCCAATTCCAGTTGGGTTCATCATATTCACTTATGTTCAAATACACTTGGAAAAGGTATGAATCCAACACTTATTCCCTCAGCTATGAATATTGCTGCCACATATGATCCGGTGCTCCTGCTATATATTTAGAGAGCTTTGATAAAATCCAAAGTAGAATCTTCAATTTTATTGGTCCTGACCTGGCATCTCAGCTTCAGTCCCTTTCTCACCACTATAATGTATTTTCCCTGTGCCTTCTAGAAATACTTTCATAGTAATTGTTCTATTTTCTCTTTTGTATCTAAACTTTGAAGAAATAAAACAGCTCACAAAATCAAGAGATAAACAACCTCTAAAATTATTTTCAGAAGATTGTTTTTTAATTTTTTTTGCCCAGGTTCTGTAATTATAATATTTCAACATAAATGTTTCTTGGAATTTCAGATCTTACATATTGTAAATGTATAATGAATATTTTGTATTACAAAAAGAATAAATTACCCTAAAATGTATATAGAAGAGAATTCAGCTGATGGCCATATCATGTTTAAACACAGATTCTTGTACGATCAGCGAAGTTTAGCAGCGTCAAGCCTGGTCAGTACCTGGATGGGTGACCACTAGGGAATACCAGGTGCTGTAAGCTTGAATGTGCAGGTGGTGTAATGAATAACAGCTTGAAATTGTTAATCAGAGAACTGGGTTCCAATTCCAGTGGGGTTCATTATATTCACTTATGTTCAAATGCCCTTTGGAAAGGGATGAATCCACCTCTTCTCCACCCAGCTATGGATTAATTAAATGGTAGATAATTGTATCATTCAATCCTTATTATTCTAAAGAAAAAAATATTCTTACAATCTAAAAATATTTCCTCGCTTTAAATAACCTGCAAAGGGTCATTAGCTGTAGAAAACGAATCAATCAGAAAAAAAAAAATTACCATATTTGACGGCATATAAGGTGCACTTTGTTTTAGTAAAATATGTTTTAAAATTCCCCTGCATCTTATATGCCAAATGTAGGTTTAAAATTCAGGATAATCGACATTTAGAGACTTTAGAGTAACTTTCATATACCTATTGTTATTTAAAAGGCTATTATGTAGATTAAAAGTATTATCACTTATAATATTCATTATATTAATTTCATCGTGTTTGATATTAGTACTTTGTTTCAATAAAATTATATGCAATAAATTCAAATTAAAAAATATATTTGTTTCATTAATATTTTTCTTGCAATAACTTCCAGTTGCATTGGTATAAATACAATCAGAATTTTTATATCCTAATTATTCCAACAAGATGCAGGTTATACAGATCCTATAAAGGATATAATAAAGTTTTTATAGGCTCGTATTCTTTTTCCTATTATTTTTCATTTAATTGTAATCGTGGCTTGTTTAACCAAAATAATACCTTATAAATATAGCCTAAGCTGTACTATTTACTGATAATTTTACTAATTACTAATTTTTTCTTGATTTGCCCTCCTGAAATTGGCATGTGTCTTATTCACCATCAAATATGGTACTTTTTCACTTATTAATATGCTGGTCAGTGGTACATTATGGGTAATAAGATCTACTGTATTAACTGCTATGTTTTAAATTATAGAGGCTATTGAGTAGAAAAAATTGTGGATCTGAATGCAGTTATTTGTAGCTGTTTTATAGTGATTTGTTATATATATTAATACATGTTTTGTTAAATAATATAGACAAGTTTTGTATATTTATTTTAAGTAAATTCCTTTCATATTGTTGAATAAGCTTTTTAGTATTATCACTGAAACACGAAAGAAAATCACCATGTTGATACATGTTTTTATTATTAATCCTGTCTAAGCTTTCAGCTTACATAAGCCATCATCAGAGATTACAAGTACATTACAATAAATTAAATAACAAAGATGGTAATTACCTTCCATGTAAACAAAACGAACTATCATTGTTGCAATGTTAGCATAACCAATCTAAAACAAAAATTACCATCTTTATTATTTAATTTATGTTGACATGCCAATGGGTGCAATATGGTGAAATGCATCAGGCCACATTTACCAATGTTAAAAAGTGACTGCTATACCCAACCAGCACCAGCTTTTCTTTTAGCCAATGGATAGGGGCTGGGTCTACCATTTGACACGCTTCAAAAGCTTGTATGGCTGATTTGATGGTCATCTTCGTAGTTGAGGGACACGCTTTTCAGTAGGTGGTGCGCCGAATGTCCACTTTGTTGGTGTATGGCACGGAACTGCTCCGGTGTTAATTGGTCTGTCATGACAGCACATGTCAGTGGTGAGGGGTTGGATCCTTGTCTCATCATATCAAACCACCTCTTTGGTACTTGGGTCAGCTTATCTGCCAGATTCTGCTCTGATGCAATCTGCATAATGTCAACCCGTAAGCTGTATTCATCAACCAGTCGCTTTATGATCGCCAATCTCCTTTGCACCAACATCTCACTTGTGGCTTTGGTCCCAACTTGCACCTTGCCTGTCAAAGTGTCAGACAGCCAGTGGTAAACACGATCTGAGTCTGTGTAGAAATGCACCACCTTGGCTTGTCACTGTAGTGCGAGATTAAGGCACTTCAGTGTGATGTCAAGTTCAGCCAAATTAATATGCTGTGCATTGTAAGACAAAGCCAGCATACATCCTCTAGAATAGCACCACATCTTTCCAACACCACACCTGTTGCCAAGAAGCTTGCATTAACCTATGCGTTTATGTCTGGCCACACATCAGTTGTCTTGGGTGGGGTTGTCTTGATATACTTTGGCCATCATTTGCTTTAAGGAATTGTCATTCACTGTTTCGTCCCACTCTTTCATTCTTGCACTAGCCACCCACAGACTGGAAAAGGTCCTACCAGCTTACTGCAAATTGAAAATATAGTATGTCACATCAGTATGCCGTGTAGTTCTGGAACTGTGCTCCCCCACTTTCACTGTAGAGTGTTATGCTTCCCCTAGGTCTCAAGATACAAGAGACCCAACCTTCAGGTGATTGGGCTCCTTACAGATCAAGCTGAATGATTCTAGCTGTGTTTAGACCTCATCTGCAGACATTTTGTCCTCATTGACATATATATCAACACAGGCTGATGTGACTTTCATCGTTGATTCGTCTTGCGGCAACACCTAGATGATAGCTTTCATTATTATGGGCACCACATTGAAGCCAAACCTCAAGCATGTCATACAATATCTCATTCCTTTAATTAATGCTGTCTGAAATGGCCACAGGAACTCATAAACTCCTATCTACAGATAGGTCCTCTGCAAGTCCAGCAGGGCTACATTAACCCCCAGCTGGCGCCACCCCTCAATTTGGTGGTGCACACGTCTGCATTTGTGGTGAAGGCATCCACATGTTGGTTCAGTTATCTGTAATCAATTACCAGTTGCACTTTCTTTTGTGGGCTGGACCATGACCATCACTGGGATCAATCCCTGGGGGGAGGGGTCTAGCCATTCCTTTGGATATGGTATCAGCCAACGATTGGTAATCCACAGCAGCAGCTCCTCATACGTGGCCCTATTCTTATTGGACACTGCATACTCTGGAATTACATTACACAGCTGATCTGATGCTTCATTCATGGCCTACTTCCCCCTTACGGTTCAGACCCTCTCTTTGTGGTCAAATGTGGTGCAAAAGTTTGTTTCCTCAATAGAAATAGCTGCAAATGATTCTTTTCATCATTTTCAGCTGACGTGATCTTAGTACACCCTAGAGCTATTATTGCATCGATGCCAATCAATAGATCGTAGCCAAGGTGCTTTTCCCACACCACCAGTATGTTAACTTTGGCAAAGTCACCACTCTCTGTATAAATGGTGACAGTTCCTACACCGCAGCATACTCGGGATGTGCCATTGATAGTCATGATATCCATGCATTTTCTTCACACTTGACACTGATTTGCGCTAATTATTGACCAGGAACATCCTGTGTTGATGAGTGCTGAACACTGTATGCCCTCTACCAGGACGCCAATTGGAGGCAATGCTGCATTCATTATCTGATGGAGGGGCAAGGGTCACAATGATACCTTACCACTGGAGTTGGAGATTCATCTCCAGCTGTGCTGGTTAAACTATCTGCCTCCGGGGAGAGGATCCCCAGACAAGGTTTTGTCGAAGGGCAAAGTCTCATCTCAGGAAATAGCTACCTGACTCCGTTTTATATGGAGTCTACAGGGAATTTTTGGCAGAGTCAACGGGCTTGGGTCTCCCACATTAGATTCAGCTTTGTGCTGCATCTAACTGCATGGGGCAGTTGGTAGATATCCCATACCTTACCTCTGGATACATTTTCTCAAACAGTTGTGCAATATGTGTCCCAGCTCAATACAGTGATAACACTGCAGAGTTCCCTATGATCTTTAATACACATGGCCCTTATCACTTAGACTCTGGCACTCCCAAGAAAAATGGTTGGTACCATCACATGTATAGCATATGGAGCCTTCGCACCTGTTGTCAACTGTGGTGAGAATCCACATTGCTTTCATCATGTTGGGATACCACATGACTCGTACTTGCTGCTGCAACTGGTTCTGTTTCCTTGAGGATGTTCTGAGCTTTGGCAAACAGCTGGTCAGTTGGTAATTCGTCAATCCTAGATGACACTCGAAAAAACCTAATGACATCCTCTGGTAATCCTGCTAAAAAAAAACGCATTCCAGTATCTGGTCATTCACACCGTCAAACGACACTGAGATTTTGCATAAATCAGCTAGGTAGACATTGACTGTTTCCCTGGGGTGAAGTCACTGCCCAATGAACAGTTGCCATGCAACAAAGGCATCCATTCTGAATACCTTATACAATGCACACTTTATCTTGTCTAAGTCTGCATCCTCTCTGAGCTGCACACCATGTATGTTCCTCCAGTTAACCTCAAGGGAATAAGTTGTTGGCTTCATTATTTTGCATAATTTGAAAACATGCTCTGCTTTTTCAAACCATTCAATGACAGACAGCCCATCAGAAGGTCCACCATATTCTGGTATCAACTGTATGTTGAATCTCTCCATGATATATAAATTGCAGAAATAGCTTGAAGTTTAATCACAATACACGGGGTGTCACAGCAAAACTTCTACACACTATGATTTAAATAAACGCCCTGTACTCTGAGTTCACCACCCCCACATCTGACTGTGTGATCCACTATTTATTACTATTTCTAATCCCACATGCAAATGACCGATAGTATTAAAGAGCTGCTCATGCACGCATAGTGGAGCGATTGCAAATGGCCATTCCTTGTGTGACATTGTCGCTCCCTGATGATGTCTAAGTTGGATTTACATATCAAACAGGGACGTACCTGCTTTGTCTGGCGAGGTAAGTGTATTCACTTGCTACAGATTGAATACAATTTGAAGATGGTAGTGGAAACAATGATTGTCTGGAATGGCTGACAAGATAGGAATTCAAGACAATTTATAGATGGCAATGATTGGTCCAGTTTGAATAAGATATTTCATTGATATGACATGTATCAGTTGGTAAATTAAATCTCATATGTAAATTTTAATGCAAAAAAAAAAAAGAATTTTACTAATATTAAAATTAAAATTTTCATTTTACTTACATTTACATAATTATATGCCTTTGTGACTATTTTTTATTTTTGTTTTGTGCAGATGGCCTAGATGATCCTCAACAGTGTAAAAACATTCGGGTAAAATGGCTGAAAGATGACCAGTGTGCAATAATTGTTGGCAAAATAACACCGCCTCTAAGTTCTCGCTCAGTCAAGAGTTGCCAGATGATCCTTGGGGCATCATCAACCAGCAAATTTCAGTTTGTGCAGTTGACGTTTGATACTTTTTACATTAATAGTTGTGACGTTGTCCTCCAGATTTCAGATTCTCCTTCTGCACAGTTTGATAGCAAAGTTCAAGACTTGGTTAGTTCTACCAATTGTTTTTGTTTTTTTTTTTGTTTTTTTTTTTTTGTTTTTTTTTTTTTTTTTTTTTTTTTTTTTTTTTTTTTTTTTTTTTTTTTTTTTGTTTTTTTTTTTGTTTTTTTTTTTTTTTTTTTTTTTTTTTGTTTTGTTTTTTTTGTTTTGTTTTTTTTTTTGTTTTTTTTTTTTTTTTTTTTTTTTTTTTTGTTTTGTTTTTTTTTGTTTTGTTTTTTTTGTTTTGTTTTTTTTTTTTTTTTTTTTTTTTTTTTTTTTTTTTTGTTTTTTTTTTTTTTTTTTTTGTTTTTTTTTTTTTTTTTTTTTTTTTTTTTTTTTGTTTTTTTTTGTTTTTTTTTTTTTTTTTTTTTTTTTTGTTTTTTTTTTTTTTTTTTTTTTTTTTTTTTTTTTTTTTTTTTTTTTTTGTTTTTTTTTTTTGTTTTTTTTTTTAATTTATTTCTTCCTTTCTCTCCTTCACAGTGAGACATTTCTTATACAATATAGAGAAGAGGAGCCAATTTGAGAGCACACTTCTTAATGACTACTACAGGGATACTATCGTGTCCACATGCTTTATGGGGATCTAGGTTAGAGATGATTGCAGAAACCATAGAATTATATGTATATCACTCAACAGAGACTCGGTTTTAAGTGGGAAGGCAGGCAGGGATACTCCAGATGAGTCAAGAGTAGAGTTTGAGAATTTACGGGCAAAGCATTCCTCTTTATTGACAGAGGATGTTAACACCTCAAATTGATTGAAAAGAGAAGGAATAATGACCTTACACTTATTTAATCAAAGACAGAGAGGCAACAGCATGTCTGTGAGAGAACGACTGCAGATGAGATGACAGATCAGGGCCAATTACATTGCATATCCATCTCTGGATCTAATCAAGAACCTTGTGACAAATAGAAGGAGCTCCAGACCATATATGGCAGCAATACTCCATGCAAGGGTGAATGGTTGATTTGTAGATTTGAAGGATTGACTCTGGCAAGAAAAATTTCCTGGCATGGCACAGGGAGCCAACTTTTCTTGCGATAGACGAAGCTATTGACTTAATGTATTTGTTTCAACTCAGGTCAGCAGTCAATGTGAGACCGAGTAGTCACAAAGAGGTGCTCTTGTGGAGTTGAGCGTCAGACATTCTAATGGGGGGGGGATGGTTCTCTGTGGTGAGTAATAGAGAGCAGTTTTGTTTTTGAGGCATTAAAGTTAACCAGCTAATTCCTGCTCCAGTTCACAATCGATTGCAGGTCCTTTTTGAGACAAACGGCCAGGTTAGTTTTGTCAGTGACACTAGATTTGTTTTTGAGACAGGAGTAAATGGTAGTGTCGTCCACATAGATGCCTACTTGGGTTGACTTAGGAAGATCGTTGATGAAGATAAGGAACAGAGTAGGGCCTAGGATGGAGCCTTGAGGAACACCTGTGTCCATGGGATAGGAGCTGGAGGAGAATCTGTTGAGAATGACATTCAATACACGGTTTGACAGGAATGATTGTATTAAGTCAAACAATCAACCTGAAATTCCATAACCCTGAAGCTTGCAAAGAAGGCAGGCATGCCAAACCCTATCAAATGCTTTGGAGATATCTAGAGCCATGGCACAAGCTTCTCTGTTATTATGAAGAGCCTGGTAAACATTTTCAGTTATGGCTGTAAGCACATCAGCCGTAGAATGGGCAAAGTGGAAACCATATTGCTTGTCGGAAAGCAGATCATGGGATGTAAGGTGCTTAACCACTTCAGCGTCGATTAAAGCTTCAAAGATTTTGCTGAAGAGGGGTAGGAGACTGATAGGATGGTAATTAGAATGGTCAGAAGGGTCTCCAGTGTTCTTAAAGACATGAACAATGGATGAGGACTTCCAACAGTCTGGAAAACAAGATTCATTGAGGCAGTAGTTATATAATTTTGAGAGGGCAGGGGCCAGTTCAGGTGCACATTTCTTGAGGGCAATGGCGGGGGAAGATTCTATTGGCCAGCATGAGAGCCAACAGCCGACTGGCACGAATGTTAACTAGCATGCTAGCATGCAAAAAAAAAAAAATCAATAGATGCATTCGTCACAAGTGGGAAAAATTTAAATCTGCATGGCACTTTACTCCAATTGGCTCATTCGCTTGCTTAAGTGGGGGGGGGTCTAAATTAGAGATAATACCGATAACAGGGTTATGTGCAACTCTCTCAATAGAGCCTCAGCTCTGAGGAGGAAATTGGGTGTGGGTACACCAGAAGAGTCGAGTGTTGAATTGAATGAGAATTTCCGAGCAAAGCATTCAGCCTTGTTGGCAGAAGAGCATTAAAGTCACTGAAGACAAAGATGTTTGCAGATGGATTGAGAGAAAGGGCCTTTTCTACACTGATACTGCAGTCCTGGGAAGAGGGGGAGTGATAAAGGAAAAAGAGATAGCTAATAGTTTAGTAATGAAAGACAGAAACACATGAAAGAATTGTCTGAGCCTCGAGAGACAATTCTCTGGCCATTGGAAGATTATCATGGATGTAAACACGAAGACCATGAATGTGAATGCTGGAATCTTTTTGGTAAAGGGAAAGATAACCTGGAACCAAGAATTCATTGAAAGCAATAGATGAACTGGTTTCACAAAGGGCAAAGATATGTGGCAACAGTTCCAAGAGAAAAGATTCTATGCTGTAGAAGTTGGAACAGATACCATGAATGTTAGAGAATGGTTGAGAGGTTAGGTGTTTTTTTGTTTACTGGTTTAGTTGTATTTCTTTTTGTTGTTTTCCATGAGATTTGTCTTGAGGAGAATGTGTGTGTGTGTGTGTGTGTATATATATATATATATATATATATATATATATATATATATATATTAGTGTTTAATACTTAATCTCACACACACACACACACATATATATATATATTTATATGAGAGAGTATTAAACACTAACAGTGTTTTCAAACATTTCATTGTGCTCCTACATGTTAATTAAATAAAACAAAAAAAACATGAAAAAAATATTTTTATCATTTTATTTTATATTTATATATATACAGTACAGTTCAAAAGTTTGAAGCCACTTCCAGAATTAGCATGGGATGAACTTGACAGAAGAGTGAGGAAAAAAAAATGAAAAAAAGCTCTTAGTCATTGAAAAAAAAAAAGAATAGAATCAATTATCAAACATTGAAAAACTTCTGCAATGAAGGCCATAAATTTGTGCTGCAGCAATCAAGTCTAAAGAAGGATATTTTGATGTGAGCAAAATCATAAAATTCTTTTAATAAAATTTCTAATAAAAAAAAATTGTCTTACTTTTATTTTTTTAAAACCATGTATAATAATTTTCTCTTATTTAAAGTATAAAACAACTACTTTTTGGGCCAGTTTAAAAAATTACCAGGGTTTGCCTCAAACATTTGAACTGTAGTGTGTGTGAGCACGAATATGTTTGATTATGTATATCTGTTTCTAAACAGTATATTTTCGTTTACCAGCATGGGTTTTTGATAGTTTTTAATAAAGAGAATGTGCCCTTCAGCATAAAGATATATACTCAAACACGTGTATCTACTAAATATAACATCTCCATCTCTCTCTCTCTCTCTCTCTCTCTCTATATATATATATATATATATATATATATATATATATATATATATATATATATATAGTTTTAAGGTGTACTATATTTATGGGATAAAGTGCTCAATATTAGAGTATATAAATATAAGAGTGAACATTGAAGTCAACACTCAGAGGTGACAGGCTGTTTCATGCTAGACGCAATTTTCAGGCCAACAATTGCGTCTAGTATGAAATAGCCTGTCACCTCCAAGTGTTGACTTCAATGTTATATAAGCAGCGTTGCCTGTGCTTGATTCAAAAAGTGTACGACTCATACAGCAATTGCTATCACTTGACTTAAAATATTTTTGCCCTTTCTTGCCTTTAAAGGAGTGCCCTTTGCCGTGCTGATGTTGCTACACACCTTACTTGTTGCCTATCTCACACTGCGAATTTTTTCTAAGCTCTATACTAAACATTAAATCTGTTATGAAAAAAGAACTAAACAAAATGAACACAAAATGATCAGCTTTAAAAAGGACTCAGAACTGGAGAAACCGTATGAAAAAAGAATGTTAACAACAAATACTTTTTCACATCCAACCCAGTTCTGCGAAATCAGAATCAACGTTGAGTTTAAGCAAACGAATGAGCCAATTGGAGTAAAGTGCCATGCAGATTTAAATTTTTCCCCACTTGTGACGAATGCATCTATTGATTTTTTTTTTTTTTTTTTTTTTTTTGCATGCTAGTTAACATTCGTGCCAGTCGGCTGTTGGCTCTCATGCTGGCCAATAGAATCTTCCTGCCTATTTGTGGCAGCCAGCTATAGGCTCTCACTCTGGCCAGTAGAAAATGGTCGCTAACTACATGAAAACTGCCATAGAAGCATGAAGAAATCAATTATTTCCACTATTGATGGGAGTTGGGAAATGCAAAGTCGGTCTTGGCTTTCGCACTAACTTTGTGCATGTAAATTTTGGTGCAAATCTGTCAAATTGTGGCTGTGCATTCGCTATACACACACACACACACACACACACATACTGCCTTTTTATATATATATATATATATATATATATATAATAGTGTGTGTTTTCTATTAAATAGAAAAGTCTTACCTGTTAAGCCAATTCATGAGTTTCTCCTTGTGTTGAATAAGTTATTTAATATCAGAGAGAAACTTTTAAAGGGATTTCTTGCAATTGTGTTATGTACATTCAACCTTATTTGGTTGTTTTCTAAGTAAGAAGGTAGAAATTTGAAAATAGCCAATATAGCATTTATATGATTTCTAATTTCTATCAGATTTTGGTCAACAGTACAAGAGTATTCTGCCACTCTAACACTACAAAGAAAAAATGATTACAAATCTTTAGTGGCCCTTTACATGAAAAGAAAGCAACCCGCTATCAATAAAATTTGTTTCAATCTAGATACTTGTGTTAAATTCCTTTTAACTGTTCAGTTATTTTTGCCATGTGATGCTAAATTCAATTTCTTAGTCATCGTATGTAAACCCACATTCATTTGAAACTTTGAATTGTTAACTACATAAAAGGGGTTTCTTAGCTTAAGGCCATATTTTGAGCAATAAATGGCATGTTAAACATTTCTCGTGTGTGTGCTGGGTGGGATTATTGACATGTAAATAACTTTATGGTTGCAGTACCTTTTCTTTTCTCTCTCAATGTCAAACTATTTTTTTCATTAAATTTTTCAGGCTTTGTTGTCATGTGAATCTCCAAACCCTGGAAAAATTTATTCCCATGAGGGAAACCACGTCAAATTATTTTTGAAACGAGAAGATAAATACATTCGAAATTACAACTTTAGAATAAATGCTTCACTCTCGGGTAAGAAAATAAATTTTACAAAATTTAAAAAATACAATAGAAGCAAAACTTGTATTTTGCATGTCTGGTGTTTTTGCCCAGAATCAAAATTTGAAATCTGTTTAAGTTTGTTCAAATCTCTTTTTCTCTGTACCCCCTCCTCAGATTCCTCCCCCATTCTCTTTTTCTCTGTACACCCCTGAGACTCCTCTACCTACTCATTTTTTTCTGCTCTTTCCCGGGAACTTCTCCACTTCTCATTTTCTCTGTTTATTTTTACTTTTAAAATTTTTTTTCCTTTTACCTTTTTCCTTCATTCACCTTCTTTTTCCCCCTCCTTCCTCTCTTTCTTTTCCCCCTCCTTCCTCTCTTTCTTTTCCCCCCTCCTTCCTCTCTTTCTTTTCCCCCTCCTTCCTTTCTTTTTTTTCCTTCCCTTTCTTTCTTTTCCCCCTTTCTTTCTTTTCCCCTTTCTTTCTTTTCCCCTTTTTCTTTCCCCCCTTTCTTTTTTCCCCCTTTCTTTCCCCCCCTTTCTTTCTTTTCCCCCCTTTCTTTCTTTTCCTTCCTCCCCCCCCTCCTTCCTTTTTTTTTTCCTTTTTTTGCTATGAACTTTGACTTATGAATAGATTGGTATTGCTTAGCTAGATCATAAAACAACCTAGCACGTCTTTTTTTTTTTTCCCCTATAGAAAAATGTGATTTTTTTTCTTTGCCCATAGCTTATATATATATATATATATATATATATATATATATATATATATATATGATCTGTGATCTAGAGGCCATTTGATTAGCTGTGTGCTTATAAGGTTTGGGCTTGTGCCACATGGCCTGAGTTTAATGGAATGTTGCCATAATCAACATAAGAGAGCTGCTATCCTCATTGACCTTAAAAATCAAGGTTATCTATTCTTAAATTGGATTGCTTCAATTTCTTCTTACTGGATAATGTTGATTATATCAATATATAATTACAGTAAATCATTGAAGGGAAAAGACAAAGTATGCTATTTGTAACCTCCAAGACGATTGTTTTAATACTTTCTCACTACAATTAACTCACCAGTTGTACAGTTCGGGGTTTTTTTTTTTTAATTCATCTCCTATCCATAATACCATTGTATTGGAGACATGTTAATAATTGGGCATTTTTGATTATTTTTTTTAAGTTCATTTTAGAGGCCAGCAGCCTTTTGAACAAGACCAGAGATTGATCTCTTGTTTCCAGTTTATTTTTAAAGTCTTTTACTTCCGATGGACTCTTGCGTCTTGGTGGCATTATCACCTTGCTTGGGGTGGTGCCTCTTACTCTGTGGACATCATTGTAAAGTGGGTGTATACTACAGTATATGAGTAGACATTTGTCATATGAAAATTATTAATACTAGATGTATAAAAAATGTTCTTGGTGTTAAATTAATATAGAAAAAGTAATATTAAAACTATTAATTACTAGTAGTACCAATGAACATTTCAAACTTTTGCTAGTTGAATTTTCTGATGAATCACCATTCTTAAGTTAATGATTGACTAATCTCCTTTTAAGTTCACTATGTAGAAATTCCTCTGTTGCTTTGTTAAATGTTTGAGCTTAACAACTTTAACAAAATATTGCAATAACAATCATAAATATGAATGCAGGTCATTATTTAGATAAATCATGGAGTAATGGATAGTGGCTCGGATTGAGGAATCGGAGAGCCGAGTTTGAATTCCAGTCAAATTCATTACATTCACTTACGTGCTAATACCTGTGGGAAAGGTATGAATCCTCTTCTTCTCTCCCCAGCTATGGGTAAATAGATATATGAGGAAATTTTACTTTTTTATCATTTCACCCCAACCAAATTGATAAAAGCCACTAGGATGCAAGAGGTTACTGAGGGTGAAAGTAACCGAGAGGACAATCAAAGAACAGGTTCAAGGAAACAAGGTGACATTGTATTTAAACTTTTGAAGATCGCAGTTGACAGGAAAGCAGGAAGCTGGAGGAGACTTCCACAAGTGAGAAGTGCGAGAGAAGGAACAAGTAGTATATAACTTAAGCTTATAACTAGCAAATTCAACACTGAAATTATGAGACCTAATTGCCAATCTAGTACTGCACTTCAGGAAAGCTGACGAGAACAATTACCATCAAAATATTTAGTGAAAAGGCAAAGGGAAGCTATGTTACGGTTGTGGGAAAAGTGGCTGAAGCCAAGATGCCACATTAGGACCAATAATATTGGCAATTCTTCTTTGGATTTTATCAAAAATCTTGGGATATAAATCAGAAGCACCAAATCAGATGTGGCAGCAATATTTAATACATGGATGAATGGTGGATATCTTGGTTGTCGTCATCATGATGTTTCAGCTATTTTTGAGATAGCTGTGTTCATCTGACTAGATCAGTGTGCAATGATGCTAATTTGACATATAAGAAATTCAGATGAAACACTGATAGTCATTCTAATCATTAAATAAATCCCTTGTTAATTTACAAACTCCTACAAGATAATCGCAGCATGTTAGGATTATGATTCTCTTCCCTATTATTTTATAACTAGTTTTGCTTCATCTAAAACATTTTCACTTATTTTTTTTTTTTTTTCCAGCTGGTCCTCCAGTACCCACAACGTCCATCAAAACTATTATGATAATAATTGGCCTTGTGACGGGTGTACTGATCATTGGCTGTGGATTACTTTATAAGTATTATCTAATGCGACAGTCGAGATGGCTGGAGTCAACAGCAAACCTGGATATGGTCGAGCCGTGCACACCTCGGGTTAGACACAGGTTCCCTGGCACAAACCATCCACGGAGTGGGAACACAGTGGGGACACAAACACTAATGAATGGTGAGTAACAGGCTTGTAAATTTAACAGCCAGATGGAGAAGAATCTATATCAAAGATGTGCATCTAGCGATTTACTTAAGTGTAGCTTAGATGTGGTACAAGGCCAAAAGTCTGGAGCACCCAGTAAGGATTGAACTCGTGACTCAGTCATAATTGATCTAGTGAGACAAGCTTGCTAACCATTACACCATGGTTTGTGCATGTGGGTAAACATATTTCTGTCATATATATTAACTGGTTAATTAACGTGTGAGATTGGGAGTGGGATTTAAGCAACAAGCTGGACGGTTGCTTGTCACTTGTTACTGTTCCCTGTGTTGTGTAAAGTCCAGGTTTTAATAGGTGTGTAGGTAGTACAGTGGTTATCAGCACAGAAAGTGGAACCGGCATGCTGAGTTCATATCCCGGTTGAGATCACGACATTGATTTTTGCACAAAGGAGGCACTAATGAATAAGCGGATCGGATTGAGAAATCGGAGAGCCGATTTGGAGTTCCAGTCAGATCCATTACATTCACTTACAGGCTAATACTCTTGGGAAATGTATGAATCCTCTTCTTCCTCCAGCTATAGGTAAATAGCAGGACAGACTGGGTTCTATAGCCTTGGGTGGCAACTGGTCTACCATAGAAAGAAATAGCAACATACTGCAGGAAAAAAAATCTGCCTCGTCAGTCATGTATCAAAAGATACATGATTGTCTAAGCATGTATCATGCATGGTACATAACTGACTCTTGGGGAAAGGTACAAATCTATCTATTCTTTGCCCATAACATGGACTAAATAGCCAGGCAGACTAGGCTGTCTAGCTTTGATTGAGAACCTATCTAGGAGAAAGAAAATTCTGGATTCAAAACCAGTTAGGTGTGGGGCTGGCAACTGCACTCTATAAAACCCTCCTTGCTATAGTAGCATAATGAGATGGAAGCCCTATTCTCAACATTCTAAGGAGGAGGAGGGAATATCAGATTTGGTAAATTTTTTTTTTTTTTTATCTTGTCCATACTTCAGCTGTCTCAGGAGATGCATAAATTTAAGCAGGCTTTTGTCAGATATGGTTAAGAAAAGCAATACAAACTTGCTGTTTGAACAAATTTATAATGATTGTGACCACTACCTTATTTTGGGTAATGGTTCCCATATGGTCACAGAAGTTGAGCAATTTTGAGCATGGTCAGTACCTTGATGGGTAACTGTTTGGATGCACAGGTTGTGTAATGGATAATGGCTCAGAATTTTTAATCAGAGAGCAGAGTTCCAATTCTTGTTGGGTTTATTATATTCACTTATGTGCAATACCTTTGGGAAAGGCATAAATCCACTTTTCCCCCACCAGCTATAGGTTATTTATCACCTAAATCACTAAACCATTATTATCTCAAAAATAAGTTCATACAATCTAAAAATATTTTCTGTCTAAAAATAACCTGCAATGGAAAGTGAATCAGTCAATAAAATTATTTTGTGTAATAACTTGTATATATAATTTTTTTTTTTTTTAAAAAAATAAACAATTTGGGATTTTGACCACTACTTGGGTTTCTTAACTTTTGCACAAGAATTAGTACTTGAGGTGTTTAAATTTTTTGTTCTTGGGTCTAATTATACCCCAATTTTCAGATGTGAAATGTGACAAAATTTCCACTTAACAAAGACTTTTTCCTTCTGCTGGAAAACCTGAACCTCAACAATTTTCTATGTTTTCTTTTAGGTGAATATGGCTCACTTCTGAGTTATGAGCCGCAGTGCTATTTAAGTAAGTACAGGACTTTAGCCTGTTGACCCCTGACCCCTGACCTGGTGATCTTTGGTACCCATCATGCATTTTTGCTCTCATTGTCTTTTGAGTTTCTTGTGCTGTACAAAATTGTGTTGGTGATTGTTTGTGGTAGTTTCAGGCAAGGGACGTAATGGTGGAGTTTTGTTTTTTTAAATACCAAGTTATGTATATATATATATGTATATATATATATATATTTTAAACTTATTTTTATTTCTGTATTTTATAGCATGATTGTCAGTTTTATGTGGTCATCTTCAGAATCTACTTAAAGAAAAAAAAAACTTTCTGCAAGCATGTATTTGTATTTTGATCAATTTTTAATTTGACAAATGATTTTCTTTTCAGTATTGCAAGAAAAAGAAATGATTAGAAATATTCCTTTTATTAAAACCTGCCATGTCATATACATTGGCATAAATCATCCTTGTTGTCTTAGCAAGAAGGAAATTCTATTCGGACAGTTTCCTCTTAAGGATTACTACTTTATGGAACAGACACTTGAGAAGTTATTTCTCCAATCACTACAATCTTAACCTCTTAACCGTTATCTTTCCTACATATAATCTGCATTTTTCTTACATTCATACAACAACCTCAGTCAGTAACCCTCTACCTTGAGTGGCTCTTGGAATTTGCATTTGGAAAACAATTAGTTAAAAAAAAAAAAAAAAAAAACAAATGGTTATATTTAATAACTGGCTCAGTTTATTTTAAACTCTCCAGTTAAATATTTTCTGCTATTTTTTTTTTTGCTAACTCTTCATCATTTAACTGCTGTTTATTGATAACTGTTTATTATCAATAACTGTTTATTATCAATAACTGTTTATTATCAATAACTGTTTATTGAACATTGTCCCCTGACCACCACCACCATAACAAAATTTTAGCTGATCCATTCTATGTGCCATGCCTGTTTAGCACATAGGTGATCATGACTCTCCACAACTTCCTGTACTTTGTTGCTCTTAGTAAATTTTATCTTTTTGCTATCTTATCTAAACCCTGTTCTGTTATCCATTTACACAAGCTCATTAGGTAGCTTATACACTGTTTTCCTCTGTCCCTCTTCAATATGTCTTGTCAGTATCAAATTTTCTGAACCATCTTTCCTAGAAATTTCAACTTTTTTTTATGTTAAGTATATGTCCTTTTTGTTTCCATTTTCTTTAACACTTAGTCATTGCCCACATGTTCAGCATTCACTATGATATAGGAGGACTGATATGTAACAGTTCAATACTTTTTTTTTTTTTTCACAATTCACTATCCCAATGCACCTTCAGATTTTGATATTGCACTTTCCATTCTCTGTTAAAACACTTCCCAAATATTTAAATTGTTTTACTTTTTTGATCTTGGTCTCTCCAATTTGTAATTTGCTTGTTGGGCTGTTCGTTTTGCTAACAACCATGTATTGTTGTCTTGCAATTGATATTTAGTCACTTCTTCTCATTTTTCTTCACTACCCTCTGTAGGAGTTCTTGTAGTTGCCTTTCTGTGTCTGCCATCAACAATTTATGTATTGTTTAGGTATACAATCCATATGAAGAGAAGTGAAGTCGCTTTTGTACTGCAAACCAACAACCGATGGTAAAAAGAAAAGAAATTACTTCAATCACATTTGGACTAATGTCCTCCTCTTTTGTTGCTATTGTCACAATGTTTCAGCCATTGTGCCCTCCAGCCTTCTTCAGGTGTTTGCTGATCTGGGTAACCTTCAGAAAATTTCAAACTTAAAATTTTATTTAATACAGTGGTTTCATTGTTCGTATTCTGTTTGGTTCTGCCCGGTTGTTTCACACCACGCCTTTCTATGGAGTTTGATTCTGTACTACCCTGCCCACAATGCTGACAATTACTATGTGCCTAAGTATTCTGAATTAGTATGTGGCTAGGTATTCCGAATTAGTAAGCAGCTAGGTATTCTGAATTACTATGCGCCTAGGTATTCCCTATTACTATGTGCCTAGGTATTCTGAATTTGTATGCACCTAGGTATTCCCTATTACTATGTGCCTAGGTATTCTGAATTTGTATGCGCCTAGGTATTTCCTATTACTATGCGCCTAGGTATTCTGAATTAGTATGCGCCTAGGTATTCCCTATTACTATGTGCCTAAGTATTCTGAATTACTATGCACCTAGGTATTCCCTCTTACTATGCGCCGAGTTATTCTGAATTTGTTTGCACCTAGGTATTCCCTATTACTATGTGCCTAAGTATTCTGAATTACTATGCACCTAGGTATTCCCTCTTACTATGCGCCTAGGTATTCTGAATTTGTATGCGCCTATTACTATGCGACTAAGTACACCCAATTATTATACAACTATTCCCAATTACTATGGAATTAAATATTCAGAAATGAATACACTAATTAAACAATTGTCTAGCAATAACTAAGCAGTATTAAAAAAAACAAACAATATGAGAAATCTGTAGACATGAACGGAGAAAGACAATCAACACCTGTAGAGTAAAAGGCTTCAGTTTTAAATGACATGGATTGACACCCATGAAAATGGCTTTAGGGCACAATGGATGAATTTTTTTTTCCCACCCTAAGAAAGGCAGTAAAGCTACATTCTGTCATTTCTAACCTTAACGACTAGCACACCAACCTCATTCCCTCTGTATTGGTAAGAAGTGCAGCTTCTTCCTGTAAATGACTGCTCTGTAGAGCCGACACCCAACCTATCCGCATAACTGTAATCCTCTACCTTGAGTGGCATCCAGGCCTTGTAGATGGTGAACCACACTGTAAAAAAAAAAGTTGCAAGAGTGAAAGAAAAGGAGAAAATGTTAGTGAGGAGAAAGGACAATAGAAGAACAGTATTCAATTATTGGGGGTATTATCAATAATAATGAGTATATTAGTCCGAATGTAAATAATGATAACTTATCTTGGAAATTCAGACAGAAAAGAAATGCATAGCAAATCTCCTGATCAGGCTAATCCATTTATATCAGTACTTGGAGATTTCATATTTATTAGACTGACCTGTTTCAAATCTGAAGACAGATCATATTCATCTGTATCAGATAACAGATGAAGATAACAGGTGAATGGTAAGAAAATTGACAGAAGTAACATATATGCATACAGACAAGTGTGAATTTTTGTTTAGAAAAGATTGAAAAACAGTCTCACATATAAAGATACAAAATCATGTCTACCTGTGATTAGTCCAGTCAATATGAAAATGCTTGT